ATTATGGCGTCGCCGTGACCGTTGTTTGACCGTAGTTGAGCGTCCCATGTGTTAATTGTAATTACGGGCTCTAACAGAAATAAAATACAAATTTGTTAACAGACACTTGTTAATATTGTAAGAATGCATCGATGGAGAATGACGAAGAGAATAGAAACGGTTAAAAATAAAAACTGCGTACCTAATTAGACGCGAAGCTGTCAACGTACTTATCGCACCACTTTCCGCACGAAGAATGACGAACAGGATCGGACACGTCTCCCGCGCGAGGAGTGGGGAGTGGGGTGAGGGAGTCACGTAGTCTCGTCTCGATTCTCAATGCGTATCTTCGAAGGAAAAGTTAAACCTTATTATTTCGAATAACTGAAAATAAATAAAGTAAATACAGAAAAGAAATAAAATAAAGACAAAAAGATATCAGATAAACAATTAATTACTTACTTATTTATTATCGTTATATTCTTGTGACGTCATAATGCAAACCTGTCATTGGCTGTCCTTCAACGTTGTATATCGATCTGTTATTGGATACATAAGTAACTAGATCAATTAAAATATATTAATTCTAAACATAGAAACATATAATGTGTCAATATTAATTTTCAATCTAAATTTCAATCAGTTTCTTATATAAATGTTCCTTTTGTGTATAGTATATTTTCCAAAGTTATTTGTTTCAATTTCCACTAGATCTACGTAAAAACCTATCGTGATTCTGGGTCGATAACTTTGAATAATCTGTGCACAGATGTCAGCAGTAATATTTTTTTCGTGAGACACGGATTAACGGCACAGACAATGCATCGTGTAGATGTGTAAAAAAACACAGTTTCTCGTGCCACGCGAACAAGGAATACAGGAGCCCAGCTCCAAGGTGAAGTCGAGAGGACGGCGACGAAAAATATAAACACGGACGGATCGGGTTTCCAAAGCACAAGAGTCTCGAATCGCTGACCCTGGCTTACGAATGCTAGCAATGGTAGGAATAAAATTATTTTCAAGAAATATTTTAGAATACACAAGAAATAGGTACAGACGCGTAATAGATTAGAACAGTCATTTAGTCAAACATTGTGAATATGTATTAATGTCTTTGTGTATTCTATACATGAAAAGCATTGATTAATTTTTCGATCAAACATTAATATATTCACATGTTATTAAGTAGATATTTCGATCGATTAAACTACCCATGAATAGTATAATATATCGATATGTCATTTTTAAGAGACACTATCGAATATGTCGAATGTATCGATGTTCAAGCAGAGCCAATGAGAAGCTTGCATTATGACGTCACAAGAATAACGCGGTAATACATCATTAAGTAATTAATTGTTTCTCTGATATCTTTTTGTCTTTATTTTATAACCGCAGATCCTAAATATATATGTATATCATCAATGTTATTCGAAATATAAGGCTTAATCTCTTCTTCGGAAACAAACACCGAAAGACGAACGTCGAGGCCTTCCCCCCACCCCCCGCCGCACCCGCCATTCGTTCCTTCGTAACGGTCAACGACTATTCTGCTCAGCGGTCGTCACTCGTCCTTCGGAAAGTGGTGTCGTGACAGGCTTCGCGACTAATGAGGTACGTAATTTATAATTATTGTCATCTAAAAGTCCCGAATTACTCGTAGTACTTTCCGTTACTCTTTGTTGGTGCTTTCATGTAATATTAACACGTATCTACTAGAAATTCTATCGGAATCGTGAAAAAAGTCGAGTCAGTTTCGTGCGTTTTCTTACATGTCTAATCGACACCAATTATGATATCTGCAAACGTAATTATCAATTCATAGACCATATTTCGGGTTCAGTCGATCTTTAATTAAGGTGTGGATGCATTTATTTTAACGCATTGGATCGTAATTTTTGTTTTATTTCTGTTACAAACTTTGCTGCAACTCGGCTGGAAGGGGCGCTACCGGTATGCATTGGATGGACGCCATTAATGCTTGCAAGCTACCGGCAAACGGTGGATGGACGCCATTGATGCTTGGAAATCGCAGATCGAGGGAATACGAAATTCAATATTGGTAAACCATTATAAATCATTGTAACAAGTGATATGTTTACCAATTTTTGTGTTTTTATCGATGAAATTTAATACTAAATCGATAAATAAACAGATCTTTGTGTTTACTAAATTATTTTTTATTTCTAATCTCAAATTTTCATTTTATCTTTTAGAAATTTTGATGACCGCGCGCAATGCGGTCAGTAAATTCAGTGCTTGTGTCGTTTAGAATTTCTTGTTTTTCGAAGCACAGTGGCTTCTAGTAGATTATCGTTTCGATTTTAGGGACACGCGAAGTTCGAGTCAGTGTATATTGCACTCTCATGAATTTTAGTCAGAGCACCGGGGCTAATGAATCGCAATAATAGAGTCAGGGCATCACTGAACGGGAGTATTTGGCGATGCTCATGAGCAAAGATTGTAAGTATCTTCATACTTTGTTCCGAGTACGTTTAGAAAGAAATTGTTTCTTTAAAATGTTGCTACATTAAATTTTCAATATTAGCGGACGTTTTTTTATTAAAATTAAAATCTCTATAATTTAAGAAATAGGGTGTTATATTTGCTGTTTCTTTTTACAGGATCCTAACATCCCATCAACATATACATATACCTACTTATGGATCCAGGAACCTCTTGGATGACTTTGCTGCTGACTACGTTGCTGACGTCGGTGATGACTCCTACTAGCCAATCTCGTCGTACGGATGCTTGCATTCTACAATTGGTGAGTTGCATGTCAATTTTTATTCCTCTGGTCCCCAACCACGTCGTAGGACAAAAAGGTCCGAATCGACGCGGGTGACCAGTTGTATACGTGCTATCTTTGACGAATACAGTGACTTGTACTTTTTTATTACTTAGTTCAGGCTAGGGCCTTCACGTATCCCGCGTGTTTTAATATGTGCATGTAACTGAGTAACGTTAAAATATGAATAATAATTATAATGAAATTATAATTATTTACTAAAGAATAATGATACTATTGATGTTATTATAACGATACAAGTATTGAATATTGATCGTTTTTTATATTTTTCTGAATTCGTGTTAAAATATAATTTGATAAGTGTCCATGGAAGACACTACAGTCTTTTGTTAGTCGTTTAAAAATATGATGTTGCATTTCGTGTACGTGAAGGCATTTCGCGGCGGGTTGATTTCCAAGTCGAAGTAACGTGCATTGTTTACTATTCTTATCTTTTAAATAAATGACTTTGACAACGAAATCGACCCAAGTGTAGTTAAATATTTTAATTAATAATTCAGCACTTCAAATAATAATCTCAAATTTTCAAAGTAATTTATTTTGTCTTAAAGTCTCCATTACTGTCTTCTCTTCTAAATAATTAAATTTCAATCGCAGAAATTTTCTGTAATGCTAACATTTTTTAATATTGATATTAATACCAAACTTTTGCTCTTCATTTATTACAAATAAAAAGTCCATTCATTGCAACTTAAAATACAATAAGATAAAACAAAAAAATATTATATTGTCTCGTTATTATTTACTAATCAGTGTTTCTAGTCAGGATTTTCAGGTTATTTTTCCGTGTTCATTGCCTGATCTCGCCCAAGTGCCCAGGTGTTACTTGGGTGAGCAAAGGCAATGGGCACGATGATTTAGGCTGTAAGATTTGTATATGTGTGCGGCTGGCAATGCTAGTGTAACGTGCACGACGTACTTCCACATGTGTGTGTGTGTGTGTGTGGTTAGGCTGTGGAAGTGCGTCGTTTCAAAAGTTCATTATTTTGTAGTTCAGAATGTTGTAATTGCTTGATAGATTAACTTCTCAATTGTGCACACGTTAAAACATTATATATACATATAATAGATATACGCAATGGTCGCTAGTTTTTGTCAGCCGATTTCAGGAAATGGTACGTACCTTAGAGTGTGAATGTTTGCGATGTTCGGGTGTCGGAGGAACCCCGGGGCGTCCTCCCTAGTTTAGGCCGCGCCCGAACATTATGTATGAGAACCGTGGAGTGTATGTTTTGGCGAGAATGAGTTTTACTATTTTTTAAATATAGGTTTAGGTAGGTAGGTCACTTAAGTTCGGGTGTGGTTGCGTTAGATGTAAGTAGGTAGGGTCAGGGCAGGGCTGTCCACAGTCTTTTTCGGGTAGGCACGTTTTCGCGTGGCAGTCCTGTACCTGTAGTTGGATTTCGAGAGTGGAAAAGTTAGCCGATCGAAACGGTTTGTACCGTTTGTTTTGGTGTTACTTTCCATTCTTGATATCGCTGCGACTTCAATGTTGTTGTTCGCGTACGCGGTCGTGGTTAGTCCCCCTCGAAACGCTCGTCCCGCTCGAGTTTCCTCACACTTGTTTTGACAACGATTCGTAGAATTGTTTGAGGACCGTGTATCGCACGGAATCTCGAGCGTAGTTTTAAGTTTCAGGCTTTGGCAGGACCGCCGAAGAAAGAAGAGACTCGTGATGGAGTCGAAGAGGCCCTGACAAACTGTCGCAAGAGTGGGCTGCAACGAATGGTTCTTCATCTTCATCTTCGGATGAGGATGGAGAATCATTATTTATTGTCACTGTATTCGTCTGTAGTTGTAGTATTTAGTAGTTTTTCAGATGGTACTTTTACCACAACGTCCGGTGTTTTTGAATATCGCGTTTTGTATTAGCGTTGCGAAATACGAATAATCGCGTTTGGTTTCTTGATAGCGTTGCGAATATTATAAACCTATCGCGATTACTTTTAGCGTTACGAACTGAATATTTTCGAGTTTGTTTTCAAAGTAGTGTTGCGAATGAGAATTGGTATCGGTTTGGTACAGCTTCAGTTCGTTAAAAAACAAGAGTATTGCTTTAATTTCATTTCCTACCATAATAAGCGCTATGATCGTTTTCTATAGCCCGTTGGTAAGGCTGCGAGTAATACTCATTTGATACATTTTGCTTTCGTTTTTTACCGTTAGATCACACTGAAACCTAACCTCTCTATGGAGAATGTAAGGTACACAGTGCGTGCATAACCTTACTTTACTCGGTTGTACGACGTTTATCGTGGTTTTTAAAAAATGGCAAATCGTACGAATGTTCTGTTAACGTTTGTACGCCATCGACATAGTTCGAAACATTGGCTTAAGGATGGTGTTCGATACGGAAAGGTCACATATTACCAAAAGTAAGATGACGAAAGCTAACCTTTCGCAATTATTGTTTCGTCGGTACTAAACACATTCTTCTTTCAGAGACAAAAGTCTCGTGGATCCTCCGATTACGCCGTCGAAAGTCTTAATGGTTCATAGAGTAAAACCTATCAAAGGCAATCCATGGTGGGAAAAGAATATACTTGAAAGATTAGGCTTCGAGGAAAAAGTAAGATTGAAATTCTAATTAATCGAACGATTAGTAATTTTCTTGCACGAACACGTATTTAACTCGAAACTTGAACGGTACAGGTGAAACAACCGGTGTTTGTGAAGAACACGCCAGAAATGTGCAAGGCTCTTTGGGTTGTGAAGCATTTAGTAAAAATCGTTCCTGTACAATTGCCTGAAAAACTGCCAGAAGTAAACGATTTAACGAACATATATTTTCACGACGACGGATCTGTTCATTCTTATGGAAAGCTTGATTATGTTCGTTACGAAGCTACTATGAAACATAAAATGTCTATGAAAAGATTAAGTAACTATACCATAAGCGAGAAACTTAGGCTGAGGTGGATGCAAGGGAATCTCGTGTAATGGGACAAAAATTAGACTCTACGATACTAATTTGTGGCGCTGTAAGGTGATATGCTATGTTAGGAAATATAAATCAGACTATTGAACAAATAATATACTTTATTTGTATGTTGATTACAGCCTTGCAGCTGTGTTATAACCTACCAACAGTAATGTTAAAATTTCAGTGTTTTTTTTACAATTTTTTTTCTCGTTTTTGTATATTCGAGTAAGATCTATCGTGGAAGATGAGTGCCGCTTTGGGTCAGTCGTGCGGACCTACTTAAATACGGTGTTCAAAAAATTAAATAAATCGTATCTAAATTTTAATGAGCGAGACTAGAATCGTAACGAGCAGTCTTACGCGATAAACGAAACATCTTGAACGTTACAACTCGAAGACATTCCACTAGGCCGTTTCGCATCCTTTCTTTAAAGTGACCGTTCCGTTAAGAATTTGACAAGCGCGCTACGATACGGGACGCAACTTTTACACTCTGGAACTTTTTTTTAATCGGCTAACCGTTCCCGGTGAGAGAGTACTGATTTACTTGAAACCGTTTACAAGACGAAGAGATAGATCTAGTACTGGAAATCGTAAACCTAATTCCGTACAGTTACGCTAGATTCTATGAAAACAAGTTCGACCTTGTACATGCTTAAATAGAATTCAAAAAACTTGAATAACGCGAATACTGGAAGTCCTAATAACAAAGACACGGCCATTGCTCTGTCGTTCGCCTCTATCTTCCGGAACATATTCGGCGTACCCTCCGTTTACGAGGAGTTGGTTCGTCTCCGACTCCGAAGCTTCCAAAATCGCCTGTCCCTGGACGTATGATGAATAGAAATAGTATTTTGTGCTTTGGATCCCTTCTCGGGCATGTACATTCTGAGAAGTCTCGCTGCTCGTTCCTCCTGCGATCTATCCGCGGCCTTTCCGCTCAGGAAACTGAGTAGCTTCATGCTACGCCTTTTTATTCTCAATCGATTCAAGAAGTTTCTCTCGGTGGTTCTGGTGGGACTGTCGTTCAGATCGTCCGAGTCTTGCTCCAGCTTCTTCGATTTCCGTTGAAGCAGCTCCATCTGTCTTCTTCGATCGTGTTGCATGTCCCCCTTTTTCAATCTACGATTTCTCGCGTCCGCGGCCTCCGTCGCGGAATAAGCTTCTCTCTTGGCTCTTTCGGCGTTTTTGCTGCTAGTTTCCTCGGCTCTCCGTGCCACCGATTCCAGTTCTTCCAAACGTTCCGCCTCTTTGGAACTTTTAAGCGTGTCCGGCGACACGGGCTCCGTGACGGTGCCACCGTCGTCCACGTCCGACAGTTTCCTGTGGAGGTTCACTATTTTTCTACGGAACTCCTCGTCTTCTTGACTCAGTTTCGCGAAGATACGATCTCGTTCGTTCGCATCGGAACTCGAGCCGACGTTCTTCGACGTCGCCGTGTGAAACCTCTGTCACCACCATCCCACTTGATCCTTTCCGCTACCTGGCGAGTCCTCCTCCTCCGGGAGCGGCTCCAATCTTCGTCTGCCCAAAAAACACCTCAACGAGCTGAGGCTACCGCTGCCCAGCAGCTGGTCCATGTTCAGCTCGGGCAGATTGCAGTCTTCGTTCTCGGACTCCTGGTCGGCGTCGTCGTCCACGGACAGGTTCAGACCGTAGTTGTCCTCGCCGGAGGCGGCCGCGATGCTCACACCGTTCGGCGGCGGCTAGGGAAGTCAGGCACAGCTCGGGCTAGTGATTCTTTGCAAACAAAGGGCAAGCAATTGTCATGCAGATGCGTGCCAAGCTTACGGACTAACTTTTGTGTGTGTCGCCACCACTCCCTCTCTCTTTTCTGTGTATCGTTGAAGGTACGGACACATCCCAGTCGGGCTCGAATGGACATTTCGATCGTTCGTGGTTAGGAATAAGATGCAACTCTACGAATGTAGCAACGTTCCGAAGCGAATTTGGCGAAAGTAAAAGTATCACCTTACCTTTAACGCTTCGGGAATTCGCAACACGAGGATCGGCGTTGGTGTATGTACAAGCAAGCCGCTTTGAACGTGAGGTTAGGATGGAAAAAAAGCGAAATCGTTCAAGAAAAAATACGCGCGCATACGCAGCAAGAATTTTCCAACCCCTATAACTGTTCTCAACCCTTGAGGTTCACGCCAGTACCTTCGAGTGCCAAAGTATAGTGCTGTCTTAGAGTGACCAGTGTCATTACCGAGCTCGCGGTAAAGCTTTCGTCGTCCGGGCCACCGGAAGTCGGAGTTCCCCAAATATCGTCTCCCGAGGTAGCCCCAGACGTGGTGCCCTCGTCGTCGTTCGGATCCAAAGAGTATTCTGTTCGCTCCGGTGGAACCGGTGGTTGAAGAAGGTAACCACCGACACCCTCGCCAAGCTGCTCGAGCAGTACCATTTTACTGACCACGTAGCTGCTCGCCCTTGCGGTCCAGGCTCTCAATCCCGTAGGCGGAGACTCGGTGTCTCGATTGTCCTCGTCTCCTTGCTCCTCGAGCTCGTCGTCCTGATCCAGGCTGCTCATCGTGCCGAATCTTCTCAGAGCTCTGGAGGATTTCATCCGTTATTCTAAATAACTTGTTAAAGTCCCAACGTAGACCGTTTTACCTGTAAGGCGGTTCACCGTCGCAGTCGAGGTCGTCCTCGCTACCGTCTTCCGTGTTTCCGTCGGCCGGCGTGTAACTGGGACTGTTTCGTCCAGGGCTATCGTGCAGGCCGTTTCTCAGTCTGTGTCTGGTGCACAAGTCGGGAGTCGGTGGGACGACCGAAATTTTTGGAGGCAGTGGGGAGAACGGATCCCTCGTCAAAGGGGGCGTGGGGCAACCGGATCTAGGATCGCAACGTCCAGTTTGCCAAGTGATCTTTCAACGTTTACGGGTAAAACTTTACCTGTGGCATCTTCTGCAAATGTTAATCGAACTGGTCGAGTTCTCTTTCGAGGACGTTAGGCTCCCGTTCTTCTTGGCGGTCACGCTGTTCGACTTGACGGTGCTGAGACTCGCGCTAGAAGTGGTGCTCTGCAGCTCCACGTCGGAGTTCACCACTTCCGCGATAACTTCTTCCGACGGAATATTCTGTTCTCTGTCAGGTTCGTTTAGGTTCTCCTTGGGGGCTCTGGCCGCCAACTCCTCCGGAGTCCATTCCTCGATGGGCGCCTCCTCGTGATCCGGGGGCGGAATCTGACGGGAATTGCGCACCCATTGCGCCAGATGATTGTCTTCTCTCGAGTTCTTAATGATGGTATCGATACTCTCCGCCGAGTGCGACTCTTTTTCCTCGTCCTGCTTCTGCGATTCCCTGGTGGTCTGTCGCGAGACTCGATTATCATCCAACCCCTCTACGAATTTGATCACGACTCACCTGCGAGCTTTCCGTCGGTTCCCTAACCGCGGTGAAATTGCTACCGATGATCGGACTCTCTTCCGGGCTATCCTGGCTCGGCGTACCCCCGTAGCCTGTATTCACATAGATTCTAAAATACAACGGATTAGTGCAGACAAACGGACGAGCTTCGTCGGAATCCCGTCAGGGTCTGAGTGAGGACACGAGTTGAAATCGTGCCCCCTTCGAGGCGTTACGAAACCGAAGACTTACATCTGCCGCTGAAGAAGATTGTGCCAGACAGCCTTCAGTTCCGGAGTAGGGGCTCGCAAGACCATCACCCGTCTTCGCGGCCGACTGTGAGGACTACAACCCCCGGTATTGGATACTTCGACGTGGCCGTTCTCCGCGTTCCCGCTAGGATTGATGGCGATTTGCAGTCGAAATTCCGTGGGCCGTTTCCGGACGGTGAAGCAAGCCTCGGCGATGTTCGAGAGCCGCAGCGGCTCCTCCGTCACGAACAGAACGCGATCCCTGGAGACCCGAGCGAACACCAGAAGATCAGTCAGGAGCAACGCCCAAGAGGGCTGCAACCGCGCTCGACCTTCCACTTTCGCGAGCGCACCCCCGAACAGCCTAAAATGCCGTACAGTTGAGAAAATCGCCGAATTCCGTTCGTCTCTCGATAGTATGGCGATCAGACCATTGTCTTCCGGGCATGGCCAGAGTGAATGGCTTGCATCTCGCGAAAACTAGTCGGGACTCGACCTCCTGCAAGCTAAGCAGAGGCCTCCCGGTATCGCGCGGTGGCTCCATCACCCCGGCGTTGGCCGTCGCTTCCCTGTATCCCTGAGCCAAGTCTCTCGCTTGCTGGCAATTCCTCGGCGATGCCAGACCCAACAATCTCGTCATCTCTCTGCACAGGAAAACCTCCGCGTAACTGCAAAGAATCCCTACACCGGATCCAAGACGCACCTGTAATGTTCTAGAGGCAGGAGCAGAACGCCCGTCAGATCGGGACGTCTCTTTTGCGGAACGGCGGGTTCGCAGACGAGTTTCGCGAATGCCGTGTTCCGTCTGAGAGCGACCAGAAGACAGCAGGCTCGCTGGAGGCCGCTCAGGTATCTTCTGTAGGCGGCGGTGATTCGGGGAACGCGACAGAAGTAGCTGTCGACCCCGCCGCCCTCGTCGCGGATCTCCTCGGAAATCTTGAGCAACTCGTCGAGATTTTGAAAGAGTATCATATAGTCCGCCGCGGAGAGGACGTCGCGTCTCTCGGCCATCGGCGCCATGAAACGCGTGTGTCCGCTCTTGAGGACGCCCCAGTACCGGGACTCCCTCACGGACAGCTCCTCCTCGGGCGGCGCGTCCGGGGCCAGGTTCGGGAAAACCTGAACGCGCGTCCACTCGCAAATTGTCGTGCCATACGTTCCAGTTTATGTAAATGGAGGACGTTCACGTGATCGCAGGCGATGCATGCAGGAGGATCGTATCGACGACACGCGTTAACAAAAACAACATTCGCGTCGCCTTCGAGACACATGCACTCGGGGCCGACGACGACACGCGGTATCGTTCGTACGCGCTTAAAATTAAGGGATAAGGGTGAAATAAATGAACGAAACGCAATGGATGGTTTGAAACAGAACTTGTTAAACAACAAAAAAAAAAAAGAACAACCGTTGGAATTACAAAACATAACTTAACCGTGTCCCCCCGACAGAGTAATGGGGCACGCGCTATACACTACGCGTTTACATCAAGTACAACACAGTCATGAAAATGAATGTACAGGAACGTCCGCGCGTACATGCCGTGCAACGAATAAACATAAAAGTAAGCTCTGAAGTACGCATGCAGAGTGTCGCGGCTCGCAAAAACTCAATACGGCGGGCCATCTCCGGGGGAACCGTTTCAAAAGAAGCCTTTTATCGTTCCCCGCGCGATCGCGTCGAAGCTCGTGAGCTTCGATCTTACCCCCTCTGTCTCGATTATCACTCTGAGCAAAATAAAAAAATAAACGCAAAAGCCGTGACGCCGACATTGTTGCGGTACGTTCTCGTCCCGTAGAGAGTCGAATACGAAACCGAGAGCCTGTCGTGTTCAGACCAGGACGCCTGTACCGACCTCGGCGCTGAACGCAACCGCGGGCTGCCCGCCGCCGATCGGTTGCTGCAGGCTGACGTTCATCGAGCTAGGCCGGTGCATCGACGAGTGAATCTGCCCACCCTTGCGATAAACTTCCAAGATCAACTGATTCGTGGCCGCCTGGATCAGTCCAAGTATCTCTTCCCGTGGCCTCGTCACCACGTTCGTCATGTCGACGAATACCACGTAATCACCTGGTTTCAAACCGGATCGCTCCGCCGGGCTGCCGGGGTCCACCCGTTCCACGCGGGGCGGTCTTCCCCAGGACAACGAAAATCCCCATGGAATCTGCGTGACAAAATACCCACCGTTAGAAAAGAAAACTTGGAGCGAGAATGCATCGCAACGGTGCTGGATAAGACGAAAAATATATAAATTTGTTCCGTGACGAACGTCGACGTCTCGAATAATAATCTTCGTGCCACGGGAGGGCCTCCGGCGAAACTCCGGTGCAACGGGGGGTCGAAGCAGCGGGGTTTTAAAGGAGGCCTACTTTAATACCTACAATCGGCCCTAGTGCCGTAATGGTAACTACAAGCGTACCCGCTGCGAGTCTCTCGGGGCCAATTGCGCGAGAGGACAATGGCTTTTCGCGATATAGGTAGTTACATCGGGGCGGGTACTCTTGAATTTGATCGATTGCCTTTATCGACTGTCAGACCGTGACGTTAACTTTAACGATGCTTGGACGTTGTTAACGTATCGATACTCGATCCGCTATCGACATCGACGAGGGAGCCTAGACCTTGATCAAGGAACACCGACGAAAACCTAAAAACGTGAAACGGAAAGTTAGCGTGAAAGGAGGGAAACGACTAACCTGATTAGCAGTAGTCTGTCTGATCAGTCTCCTCGTAACGGTGCAAGGTGTTCTACCGCCCCTGGCAGTGAAACCCGGATGCAATGGCAGACCAGTCAATGGATCTACTGGCTCTAACTCCAGATGCCTCAAGTACGTCAGGTTCTCCGCTCCGGAATTATTATTATCTGGTTCTCCGTCCTTGGACAAGGGCGGCGAGACTCCGCAGTCTTGAGGCAAACCCGCATAAAGAGTGCTCGTGTTTCGACCGGTTCCTGCTTCTAGTGGATGCCATGTCGCTTCCTGAAAATTTACAATCGTGTCAGGAACACCGTCGGACGAATGATCGTCGCCGGAATCGAAATTACCTCCGTAGCTTTTTCAACCGCGAGCGCGTTAATCGACGATCGAAAGCTTCCGCAAAATGCCACGACTTCCCGTCTCGGAGCACAGACAGTTTCGAGACGGAAGTTTGTCCGTTCCATTCACGCGTTATTTAAAACGTTTGTCCGTTCGACGCGCGCAACCGACGAGAAACAGTCCCCGCGAACGTTCTCTCCATCGTTTCAGCAAAACATGAATATCTTCAACAGAACACCGACCACGAAAAACACCACGCAGTAAATGGCCACCACGATCATCGTCGCTCTCACGTGTCGCGTCGACGAACAATACGCGAAAAGAACAATTTTCGGATCGTACCGCCGGAGGGTGCACCCCGACGATGCGCGGCTGTCACTTTTAACGAGGTCAAAACGCAAGTGAATCTTCGCCGGATGAATTTCCGCTTCGTTGCCCCGTAACGAGCTTAACCCTGACCTTAAGCCAAGGAAGACTTACGAGTCCCGGTAAACAGCTGACGTGCGACCGTGTATGAAACTTCCTCGTCGCGAACGGAAAAAAAAAAAAACAGAAGAAATTCACGCCAAAGCGACGCTTCACGCCGCGGCGCCGGGATATCCCATTCGATACGCGTCGTATACATGCTTAAAAATTGCAAATATTTACCTTGTCTTGGGACAGGGGTAGAGGCAGAGTCATGCAGCCCAACAGTTCGCTACGTCTGAAACACGAAGAACGAAAGCGTGCATAAATCGTTGGCGGCCGTATCGGCGTGCGTTCGCCGATAGAATCGCGCTTCTGTGTGCGGATACGTACGCTACGCGGCTGGTAGCGTGGTTACATAGGCGGTACGCACACACGCGACTATTTGCACAGAGAGGAGGGCCGTTGCAAACACCGTTGCAGAGACGAAGTGCACGTGGTAAACGCGATGCGCATGCTTCCAGGGAATCGATTCCCCTCCTACCGCATGGAATCCGCGTATACCCCAGAAATTCGTTTCGCTATTCGGATGGACCGTTGCCTCCGAATCGACGGAAAATTATCTCATTCCGAGACAGTCGTCTATCGACCGCTAAATTATCGCGCTTATACGTCCCGTCTGGCCTTCGTAAGCGCCGCGGGGACGCCGCTGGTCGGTTAAACGGTCCGAGGAGACGTATGTACGTTTCTTCAGTCGCGTTTAGCGGAAGCTTATCTCGAGTCTGTCGCGAATGTTTGGGAACGGAACCGTGTAACTCGTTCGACTCGAACTAACGTAACCGAGTCGCAGTTCTTGACCTCGATACTCGTTTCTCGGAGACGGCGCACAGTGCGTCGCTTTGGGGCTGTTCTGCCGTAAAACGCGCATTTTTAGGTCCTTTTTGGCAAAGAACCGTGGAACGTTTTTATACCGATCGATGCTTGCGAAGTTTGCAGATATTTTTTCAAAATAAAGTTTCTGGAATCTATGCTTTCAGCTGTTTTTGAAATTGTTAGAACCAAGGTAGCTCGAATCGCGTGCATCTTCAGACACTGTGCAAACGTCGACTCTTTTGCAACGGATATCGCATTCATCCGCTTTTAAGAAATTAGTTACGTGTTACTTATGTTAATAGAGCGCTATTATCATTGAAAGAAACGTCTACGTCCTGGTATCGTAAATATGTAACTCGCGGAAGGACGCGAGGAATCAATCGACTAGCAAACAAGGACGGTTTCCGTCGAATCGCGTGCATCGATTCCTCCGTTGTTACGCGTAAATACGACAAAGCACCGACGAAGCTTCGTTCCTGAAAATGTACGGGACGAACGTTTACTCCGTTTCAAGTTTCGCGGCGGGCGTAAATGTACCGAAACATTCTCACGGTGCACGCAAGCTCGGTTTGCGTGAGAGATTCGTATCTCTCGGGTGGCGTTAACTATCGTTACCGAGTTAACCGACTATCGTTCGAAAGGTGTTATCCGTGGCTCGAATTGCATGGTACCTGAACGCGCCAATTACGAGGGAACGGTTAATTGCAACGTTAATACAAGGGGAAGACGTCCAGCGTGTCCGATGCCAACGCGTCCCAGGTCGAGCACGTTTCGACTAAGGTGATTTCTCGTGAACTTTAAGCAATACCGCGAATAACGAAACACCCTGTATGCAGCGTCGCGTAATTTTTGCACGGTCACACAGCCTTGCAAAGGCTATGCAGAAACGATCTACTTTGTTTCGTTGAAAATCATGACTGGGAGATGTTGAGAGCAATGTTAGGCTCGATAAATCTAATCTAATGATGATTCTTCTTCCTGAGCCCGTTTCACCGTCTCGATTCCCGTTATCGTCGAGCACCGATTCCCCTCTTCGTCTGTTGTTTTTCGTTTTTGGAGCATGCTCACCTTGCACGGCGATCCCTGTGCCACACCGCGATGTCCAGGGACGTGGGCTTGCTGGCGCAGTGGCTGTTGTTCGCCGGACAGGGCAGTATCAAGGTCTCGTGGAAAACGGGATTCGGTGTGGCCCGGTGCACCGCTGTCCGCTTCACCACCCCCTCGCGGTTAGTGTTCTTCAGGCTCACCTTCACGTAAGCGTGAATGGAACCCTCGTATACCCTCCTCAGGTCCTTGCACCGTATCACTGCACGAAACAGAAAGACTCGTCAGATCGCGAACCTGCATCGTCTCACACTTTCCCCGGGAAAGTAGTTTTATCGGAGACAAGAGACTGTCGCGGGCACACGTGCGATTAGATAGAGCCGCTGCACGTCCCGCCCCTATTCCCGCACGCACTACTCGCGCCCGACCAATGCGGCACTCTTCTACTAGCCGCGACAGTTATCGAAAAGTTCCTCCGTTCCCGTTCTCGCGGCCGAACAACCTCGTCGTTCGGACCGGAACGGGAGATCGATGCGTTCGCGGAGGACGAGATTTATCGACGGGGGGTTTTCCTCTGTCCTAGGAGGGGTGGCGCGCCACCGAGGGAACCCAGACAGAGGAGGCCTACGAAGATTTCACGAGGGTTGTTTACGCAAGGACGTGTACCGCCAGGAATCAATGTTGCTAGGCCTACTAACCGGGAGCCAATTGCCAGGAGGGTCTGTGGGTTACTGGCACAGTCGTCTATCGCGGGGTGCCAACTGAAATACCCCCTCTATCACTGCCTAACCGGCGCATGCCCTTTCAACCGAGCTTTTCAGGGACGTCTCCGCCTCGTCAAGAACCTCCACCCTCTGGTTCCGCGGTTTTTCTCCGCTCGACGAGGCACAGCCCTTTACTCTCGTTTCTGGAGGTGTGCGGGTTCTCCAGTTTGCAAGCTTTCGGCTAGCGTCGGGAAAAACCGGCCAAACTCTCGAAAATATGATAGCAAGATCCACGAACGTTACAGTGAATTTTCTAGTACCAATGGACATTCAATAACGAGCACAAAAATGAGCATCAAACATCAGGAAACAAAGATATTAGAGTCTCAACAAAAATTCGATTACGAGGGAAATAATTGCTCCCGGAAAAGCTTGAAACTAGCGAAGAACAAACGATTGTACGGTACGATGATTCCTGTCAAAAGAACTCACCTCGAACGTGTATCTGATCGCCGACGACAGAGTACTCGATCTCGATGGATCCATGGCAATTGGGTTTCGGTTGTTCGCTCTCGGGACTGTATTTCAGACACCTCCTGACAGTCGCGACCAACGGGGCTTCCGGCGTGTTGGACATGGAGTTCAAGAACGATTTGGAGCTCTGAAAGTCGTCCGTGATGGTCGACTTGGGGCTGTCCAGGTCCCAGGAGCCAACTTTCCTTCCTTCCTCGTCCTTTCGCGGATCCTCCGCGCCGCATAGCAACGTCTTCGGCGCGGACGCGCACTTCTCGTCCAACGTGGAGTCCAGGTCTGTCTCCAGGGCGAGTTTCTTCACGTTAGGATTCACTGCTTCCACCAAAAGGTCCCTCTGCTTCTCCGTTTTCGCGCTGGTCGACGGACTGTGACTCGACAACCGTCTTTTCGCTCGCTTTCCCTCGTAAATCTTCTCGGTATCCTTCCGATGCCGCTTCCTCCGTATGCCTCGCTGCCTCTTCAGGGTGAACTCTCCGTCCAGGTCGTCGGGCGGGGAGGAGAACGCCCACGACATCGGTGAGGGATCCTCCAAAAGCTGGCTGGCCGAAGAGACGGAACTGTCATTGTGTCGAGCAGTTTCCTCTTCCGCGTTCTCTTCTTGTTCCACGATCGTCTCGTACGTGTGGTCGGATTTAGTCAGGTTCTGGTCGTCCCGGGCATCCTCCAGAACCTTCTTCCTCTCCTCCACGTCCCCCAAGAGAATTTCCGCCACCGTCTTGCCGGTGAAGTTGATCTCTTGCTCCCTGAGAAAATCCAAAAGTCGTCAACATTTTGGAAACGTGTTATTTTACGATCGATCGAGTCCAATCGTTACACGATAAATCTTTGCATCCGTAGACCAGAAGGCGATCTTTCGGTCGACTTAACAGCTAACCGTCCGCATAAAATAGGTCGATAACGTTATACTAATGTGCTCACAGACGCGCGAGCCCATAATCGTTCGATTCCAGGACTCGCGCAGACTTTGATTGCATCTGATAATCGCTAAATTGGACACGCGCGAAGAAATTACAGTTATCTCACCTGCTGAGCACTTCCGTGACGGTGTTGTCCATGTTCTCGAATTTAGGTAGATCCTGGTCGATGGCCAGCGTCGATAGTTTTCCGGTCAATGGCGTCTGACCGTGATTCTTAGCCTTGAAAGGAGTCCCGACCTGACCGGTCTTGGTATGATACGGGGTTTTGCATCGAGCGTGGATCTTCGTGATCCTGGCCAGTTTCGGTAAATACGTCAGCTTGGCGCAATCGGCGAACTTTGGCTTCGATTCGCCGTTCGTGACGTATAGTCCGTTCTTCGCTAAGGGAACGGAGTCCGACTCCATCACGTCCTCCGGGCTTGTGGCCATCGAGATCTGTTGGAAAAAGTCCGAGACGTGGGATTGGAGGTTCGCCCTGGCCTCGTTCACGACATTCTGCGGCAACTCGCTGTCGCTCTGGAAGCTCTTCGTTCTAGTTTTCATAAACAACGCGGGATCCGTTGGCAGGGTCAGAGCCGTGGAGCATTTGCTACCGCCGGGGAAGAACGTTAGCGGACCGATATCGGTGTCGACTCTCGGGGTGCTTTGATAAAAGCTCTCCGTGACCGATGACTTATCCGTCTGCTGTGACATCGACTGACGCTTGTTCCCGCGCAAATTAGGCTTTGTCGCCTGCAAACAAACGTGTCTCGTTCAGAGTATTGGGTTGGAAATTCAAATTATAGGACTGATCTGTTTCGTTTGTTCGGGTAAGCAATCGATACCTGAAAGTAGGTTCTCAGATCGCTGCCGTGACTCCTGCATCTTCTCCGACGTGCTGGCGTCGTTCTCGCCGAAACACTCTCGGCCGTTTGGGCAGGTATGTTCCGGGTTTTGGTTCCAGCGGCGGGAGGCGTGTTGGACAAGTCTCGGAAAGGCCTACGGGGCGCCTTGTTCAAGGTGGATGGACCGTGAGGCGTCGAGCTATTCGCTGACAACGATCTCGAGACCGTCCACTTCAGCATCTCTAAAGGCAGAAAGCAAAGTCCTAAACAAACGGGCCGTTTTACACGCATAGCGTGTCTTGGAAAGGGTGCAAAAGATTAGCTCGTAGACGGTTTCGTGGGAGGACTTTTCCGTTATCGTTCGCGCCGAGGAGGGTTTCCACGCGGGTAAGAATAATTTCGTAAGGTGCACGCGTAGCAAAACAACAGGAAGCTTATCGCGGCATCTCGCGTTAAAGGGACACGATCGCAGGAAGAAGAAGGGTCGTCTTTTATCGGCCCGTATCGACCGTACGGGTTCCCGAAAATACATGTCCGGTCCTAATTACGTGGGGGGCTCGAGGCAATGACAAAAAAAACACAGAGAAGAACGCGAATAACAGAAAAACGATGACGAAACGCCGGGGTACGCACCTGTCGCGACATACGGGAAACACCGAAACAGGTGAAACCCGTACACCTGAGTCGGTTTCACCAGTTAACACTTGTCTTGCTCTAACGAACAGTTAAACGGGCCCCGCAATCGCTATTGCCTGGGTTCTATTATCGCAATTTCACCGCGCCCGTGAAAAGAAATCTCGTCGAACCGTAGGTCGTACGATTTTCATTATTTTTACTTGAAAAAAATCCTGCGCATGCTCGAAGCGTAGGCGAATGTATCTGCAGAATCCCAATACGAAACAGTCTTCGGTTTCCCTTTTAAAAAATAACACAGTGCCCTAAAGGTTCCGTACCGAAATGGCCTCTTAACTCTAGCCTGATTCGAATCTCATTTCAGAGAAGCTCTGTCGCGTCTGTCGATCGATTGCCAAAAATCTCGTTTTTCCCCCAAGACGGAAACAGGTACAAAGCAGCAGTAGCCAGCGGCAGCAGGTTTTCACTTTTAACGGTTCCTCAGGGGGGGTGAGCTCGCTGCATTGTGAAGTAGGTATAAAAATGCATTCATTTGCATACAGGCTGTTACCATGCCGCGCACGCGTTCTTGTCCCGTAACACGCACTTTTTCACGCGCGTTCACGTACTTTCGATTCTACCTTTGGCCGCGCACTCGCGTACGCACCAGCGCGTTTCGTACCGCACACAGTCTCGCGAGCCTATCGACATTTACACGCACACGGTCATGTAAAACAGCATGGGCACCTGCCCATATGGTGGAAGCCGCCGGTAGCGTGCTTTCCATCTGGTCTTGCAAAGCACGAGAACTCGGTGTCGAAGCACCGTCAACGAGACGATCGCTATCTAAGCTTATTTCACCCGTCTTCCTTCTTTAACGTATTCTATTCTTTACGCGACCCTTTTCTCCGCCATCCACTTCCCAGCGCGCACCACCGAGCGTTAAACAGCTTTCGGCGCCACTGACAGCGTGAGAAAAATGTTATGCAATCTGTAACGAATTAACAAGTTCGTACAAATGGACGTTCTTTTGCGGTCGAAATTTCGCAAAGGGCCACCGCAAAATGCCCGCCGCGAAATTAGCTAAAGCTTCCCGCCGCGGCTTTGAAACTACCCCGAGAAACATTTACAACCCTGGCGATGATACATCTTCTTTAAAAAATTGTATTGGGAATTGGAAAGACGCTTCTCGTCGCTCGAGTGATTGCAAGTCACAGCGATCCCTCGCTGGCTTGCTTTTTGTAATTTATTTATTTAGTTAGCGTACGGGATGTACCCATTTGCGTACATATTTGCAGTGTGCGAAGTCGGAGTTTTTAATGACCCCTTAAAACGTTTTAAGCGTTCGTATCAGCAAGCGGAAACTACGGTTCTTTGCGTAACGGCTGCGATTTTTGTCACCAGAAATGGGTTTCGAGTGTCGCGACAAAGTAGTCGAGCAAACTGCACCTGCGATCGCGCGTATCCTACTTGCTTTCCGGTTCGGTTCTCGAGGCGACAGTTTCGGTTTAACTATTTGCATGGCGCAACGCTAGACGTATGGTAACTCGCCCCTTGTTTATCGATACACCATGCATTGTATCGACTCATTTTTATTTAACCGGTCGGGATTCAGTTGATTAGAGAACAAACGTACCTTGGCGCCCATAATAAGCGCAGCTGAAGGGTCCTGGTGGCGTAATTACCGGTCAACGATAAATCCCGAGTGCGTGCTACAGCGCGCTTAGAAAGGGGACTCGTGGTCCACCTGTGAGCGCGTTATCGTTTCATCTAAACGATTTCCAGTGTACGCATCCGACAAATGGTCAGCGTAGATGAGAGACTCTCATTATTCGGAGCCCGCGTGCTTTGCGAGTAGAAACAAGTGCACGAAGGGAACGTTTAAGTGCACTCTCGATTCACTCCAGGTCGCTTTAAAGTTATTCGACCGATTCTCAGCCGCTGACGAGCATTTCAGATGCCTTTTTCGAAGAGCGAGATACTGTAAAATAGTCGTATACCAATTCTTTATAGACCGTGCTTTAAAACTACAATCGTTATAGAGGGTTAAGTATGGGTGAGAATTGAATAAACGCGTCCTATAAATGATTCGAGGCTGTAGAAATTTGGGTGGTAAACGAAAGTCCGAAATGTTCGACCCTCGGCGAGGTGTTTACATCCCGTGGATCGCGTGACAAGTGCAAAACGACGACGTTAAATTGTTCCAGTCCCTTTTGGTTCGTGCGAGTCGAATAGGACGCGGTCCATATCTGTCGCTTTTATGGCTTGTAAAATATCTGTGCCGACGAATACACGATACGCGTCGGGCTTGTGTTCCGAATATAAAAAGGGGGGCTGTTCCGGTCCCCTCGATCGGGTTTAATCCATTTCGGTGCTCCCTTGCGTACCAGGTACGCAGACCCCGCGAAGAACACAGGAGACAGGATCGAGCGGAGTCCTCCAACCGAGGAAAGGAATAAAATGGAGCGACGGTTGAAAATCTTAACATGCTTGCAAGCATAGCAAGACCCCTCCTTTTCGCGTAATGTATGCTGCGAGAGCTGTTTTTAACGACTTCAACGAGGAACGTTCCAAGAGGATGGGAATTAACCGAACACATCCCCCCTCGTTCCCCTCGCTATCGCCGATCGGAACAAGCCAATGAATATTTTCCCCCCGAACCCCTTCCAACGATCAAATGTTTCATTCTCTTCGAGCCTAACCCAAATAGCAAGCTTTGTAATATTGCAAGCGTAATGTCATTCTTTTTAACGAAATATGGAAAAGGATACCCTGGACAGGAAGGTCAAGCTCCACAATAATTTCTACGAAGCTAAATTTGTCAAGCAAAGATTGCAAATGGTCGTCTAGACGTGACACCGGTCGGGGATTGGAATTTGTCGCTGTCAGCGCGATTAATTCGCGTGAAACGCGCGACAGAGGCATCGCGAAAACCGCCGATACAATGCGATTATTCACGGCTCGGAGACAAGAAAGAAGAAACCATTAACGGTCCCGATTTGCCTCCTCGAGGGTTGCTTCCTCGGCTAACCCCGAAGAAAACAAGAATCGCCACGAAACTTGGCACGAGTTTCGCCCGGTCCAGCCCCCTTCCACGCATGAAGGGAGATCCACGGACGAGAGACGATCCGCATCGTTCTTGCGAACTGAATCGTGCCTTGATCGGTTCAAAGGAACCGTGCAGACTTCTTGCGAGCATAGAAAAACAAAATGAAAGAAGGATCGTTGTAGAAAAAGAGCAGGTGATCGCTGCGCGATCCCCCGAAATCTCTGGAAGATCCACCGATGGATTGCGTTTTCAAAGATCTCTTGGCTAAATAATAAAATGGCTCGATTGAATAAATAAACGGTACGAGCTTCGGTGGAAAATAAAACATCTGGATGCCGAGGAAGCTTTCTTGGAGCTGACGCGCGAAGAGATAAGAGATGACATCGCCGCGGAGCTGTGAGTTTCTTAAGATGATATTCGGTGGTCTCTGGCGGTGGAAAGAGGTGGTCGCAGGTGAGCACTTCGTACCTAATCCCCTTTGAAAACGTCGTGGTGAACACACGCGAGCAAAGGTTACACGCACGAGAAGAAGTGTACGGTCTGTGTACGGTCCCTAAAAATAGTCTATTCAAGTTGGCGAACCCGGTCCCCTCTCGCCCAGCCCCCTTGGCCGTCGTTTCTTCGGGTTCCTTCCGCGCTCTCCTCGCGGCCAGGCTCGGAGACTCGGTTCTGATTTATATTGGATTGACCCCGGGCACACCTTTCGCTGGTGGCGTTTCTCTCGAAATGGTCCCGTGTCTCCGTCGAGTACGAGGAACCGAGGGGCGAAAAACGGCCAAGGGCGAGACGAGCGAACGCCCGGTCGGTAAAGGAAAGACGACCGAAAACCTGGAACCCACCGGAGGGGTGGGATTTCACAAGAGAGCCAGTCGAGGGACAATCAAACGCGCATTCACGGGGTTTGGCTCGGTTTTCGGCGATAGAGCGAGACGGACGGATCGAACCGGAGCTGGGGAGGTCAAAGAATCGGAGCAGGGACAGGAAGCGGAGGAAACGCGTCCCGAAGACAGACTTTCGAGCCCGCGCTATTTGGAGCACACCTGTCCACCGGTTTTCTCCGTCCCTCTTTCCTATTCCCATGTTCCCCTCGACCTCGCGATCGCGATCCTCTTGTCGCTGAAACGTACTTTTCGGCGGGGGTGCAGAAACTAACAACGCAATTCGCTAATAGAAAACGCAAAATCTTCAATCCTTCGAACCAAATAATCTTCCAGCACCTGTACACGAACATAGTGTTTCCATCGATCGAGGAACCGAGTCGTCGTTAACTAGCATTATTTTCTGCTAAACTAATTCTAAAGTGGAACCGATTTATAGGTTTCCCGGTTAAGTAGTTTTCGAAGCCGAGGCTATAGACGGTAACTTTAGATCGATAACGCTTTCGAGCTACTTCCGTTACTCTAAATAATACATAGTTTGATACGTGTCGTTCTACAACGCCAATATAGCTTGGAGTAAATAATTCAATCTAAATTACGATATCGTTGCTCGAAGCACAATGGTTCGGTGTTTGCAAAACGCTAAAGATCCCGTTCGACGACAGTCAACAGTCACAAAGTCCAAGTTTCCCTTTCATCCC